AGTATATAGGAGGTATTAATTACGTAGGGCTAGCGATATTTCCAGCACATTAATTACCAGTATAAATATTATGCATAAATACTCATATATTTAATATATTTAAGTGTATTTTAAAATATCGGTATTCTGTGATTCGATAATTACCGTTGCTATCGAAAATACAAAGTCACTGCAATTACTAATTATCGAAAATACCGTGTCACGATAATTATTGAAAATACCGTATACATTTATAATTTATATTTTGTGAAGTTTGAAGTTTGCACGTAAAATAATTCTTAATCCTAATTTGTAAATAATATACTGGTCTCCAATTGTAAAAAGGTGAAGACTTAAGAAGTCAAGAACTTCAAATCTAAAATACTATTTACTAGAACTATAATTATACCTTTTTGTGCTTATAGCCAATATAAAAATAAAAGGTAAATAAGTTGGTACTGCTCCGCTGTACATTAGGTGTCTTATATAACTCAATAACTCATAATTGAGAAAATAACTATAATGAATTAATTAGCTATAATTTACTCAATGATAATCCTTGTATACAATGAAATACGATTCTAAACGAAGACTGTCTAAATTTTGATAACTATAGTTACAAAACTGTCATTCTAATTATAATATTAAAATTATGTAAGCAAATATAGTTTTTCTTTAATTTTTTGTTTGTTTTCCTGCCTCCTGATTATAAAATAATCACTGAGAAGTGAGAAGTTTTACCTTTAACCTCTTTAAAGTACAAACTATATCCAATTTTCTATCCATAATCAACCTAAAAATGAAAATTGAAGCATTTATCGATTACTTATTGTGTATACAGACAAAAAAAACACACATTATTGTAAAATCAATAACTCATCCCTCTGCTAAAAATCTAAAAGTTAAATATTTAACAGCAGTTACTTAAATTATGTCTTTAACTACTAAAAATTATAATACATATAGATACCTACACACAGTATTTGTTTCGAAATTGTTAAATTTGTTTGCGGTTAATAATGTTAATAAAATGTGTATAGTGTGTAGCCGTATCTACAAACAACGGAGGTATCCGGCTATACCTATATATTATACCTACTTCGAAAATCGAAAACTGTAAAAAACACTTTGATAAATCAAACAAATCACATTTCGAACAACGGTAGATTACAGCACACTATCGCATTGAAAGACTATAGCCACTTTTTGGAATTTTCACTATTTCGGGTGCCGTTTGATGGTCAATATACATTTGTTCAATGTTTGCGTTTGTTAAAAGAAATGAAAAAAAAAATGAATAGAAAAAGGTCACGTAACACACCGTGTATCAGCTTCGGGCACTTATATAATATGCATTCCCCAAGGCACCCCGTCGGAATGGAAAGAGTTCAGTTACTGCACCTTACACAATATAATATAAAATAATATATAGTCATGTACCTACGGTTTAGTGCACTTTATACATGTCTAAATATCTATATACCTAACCCACATAATATATACTCCGCAGTCCACACTAGTTATTTGACATTTTACGACTGTAAGGCGCGCATTATATTGTTAAATCCAATCATAAAACACGTCTGTCGACGATAGACTGTCGTTTTATCTGTGTAGGTAACTACTAACTATACATTGTTATTATTATTGTAATATAGCTATAGAGTCGATAAACCGACCGATACAATAACATCATGTTATTTTCGACCATATAAATATGATACATTAAGACATCAATAGGAACTAGGTTCACTGTCCCCACACAAACCTCATTATTATACCTACCTATAATGGAATAGACACCATTGGCACAACTAAGGGTGGATGTATAGAGAACTTGTGCAGTTCTAAATTTTAAATGTGCATCTCCAAAAATAGAAACATTTTTCTATTAATATTTGAGTATTTTGAAGTAAATATAATCATTAATTAAAATATTTTACATTATACTGTATATTGAGAAAAATAAGTACCTACCTATTATTTTTCCAACTACCTTTGAATTCTTCACTTTTTGTGCATCTCATAAAATTTTCGTCTAATTGCGTCTATAGTAAACACAACTACAGGAAGGAGTTAGGTCAGTAAGGAGATTTAATCCCACCTCTTAGAACCAAAAAAAAGTTACGGTTATTGTAAAAATAATATATTTATATAAATTATAAATAGATAGGTATGTATTTAAGTTATAAAACAAAATGGAAGGCCAAATTTTCGAATATTTACTAATAATTTATGTATTTCCAAGTTGAATATTAGCCAAATATTAGTATTATTATTAATATAGGTATTAATACTGTAGACATTATTGTTTAATGCATTTTGCAGAGAATCGATTAACTATAAACAACATGAATATACTACCTGTATTTTATATAATACATTAATACCTCGTGAACACTTAACTCCCATCCACTTTACTGTATATTATGTTTCGTACTTTATTTTAACATCTGGAATGAACAGAACAGTGGTAATAATCTTAACAATATTGTAAGAATTCTTGATAGGTAGGTGCTAAGGGTTGGTAGGTTATAAATTAGTAAAAATACTAAAAATGGATAAATTCGTGATAAGAATTATCTTATAATTTTTTTTTTTTTATTAGACGTAAAAGACCACGGCAGCTCTGGCCATTGGTCTGACAGTAAATTACTTTTTATTGCCTACATTAAAATAGGTAGATATAACATAAAATTAATATAACTCAAACCTAATATATTCGGTTGTCAACCAACATCGCTCTTTTTTTTTGGTACGCAATTCGGATGCAGCCGTAAAATACATTATACTATAATAGGTACAGAATATATTCATTTGTATAAATCAACTAATGATAAATTTTAACACTAAAAATTAACAATTACATTTTGATTCATCAATTAGGTATTAATTATTAGACTAGTGTGGAAGATAGAGAAGTATTCATTAGATTCAAATTAGAATTAAATGAGCCGGTTGCAAACAATGAGATAAAAATTTAGAACCCTAGCTTTATAAGCTTATCATATATTAGGTATACATAATATGTATAAACTTACAACTTACAAGTTACAAATGATCTTTTTTTTTTACTTTATCTTTATAACTTTACCTCTTTGATGGCTAGCTCTAATAATCTTTAATAGTCCTCTAATAATTTCATACCATCTTAATAAAATATTACATCATAAAAGTTACAAATAATTATTTATTATTATTATTTTATAGCAAAATATTTTTTAATACCACTTTATCTAGTTTCCTCAAATTTTGATTATTGTATATAAAATTACAACAATAATATAAACAATATACCTTAAAACCTTTCTTTTTTTTTTTAAGTGATCATAATGAACAATGTTGTTAATTGAAGTAATTACAGCTGTTTCAAACAAAAAAAAAAAATAAAAATTTTTCATTTTTTTTTTCAAATATATAAATTTAACAATTTATTAATATAAATATGTTGCTGTTATTTAACTAAACAGTATATAATTAATTGTTATCATTAAAAAAAAAATTAGTTTTGTAAATTTATGATGATAAAAAATGTATATTACTGGAAACTGAATAATTATTTTCTAGCTTATTGCAACAAAGAAATTATAACTGTTATTATAATAAAATTTAGTAAATCTTATGGATTTTATAATACTAAAATGCTTAATTCATATTTTCAATACCTATGAGAACAATATACATAATATATATATATATATATATATTATATAGTAATGTCATAGAGCATTAGGACATAGACTATGTATAATGAATAATAATTAACAATAATACATGTTATGAAATATATGGAATTATATTTATATGGATAAATAATATTGGTCAATATTTAAAAAAAAAAACATTAGATACTTCATTATAAAAAAAAAATTAATTATTAAGTACAGTTAAAAAAAAAAATTATATTACATAAACAAATCAAATAAATATCATTAATTTCTATAAAAATGTAATTGTTTATATAATAAATCAAAACCAAAAATACAATAATTTTAAAATTTTAAATAAAAAGAATGAATAAGAATACTAAAAATATTTAATTTATGTAGGTAAATTTAGTTTCTAAAAGTTACTAGTCATTCTCTTAATGGTATTTAAAAATATATTTACAATATACCATACAGTTTAACAATATTGAGTAGATACTCATGGTGGAGGAATAAACTTAATGGAAAGCATAGTTATTTTTTAACAATTAAATTGATACCATGCAGGACATATCACTCACTATTTCAACAGTCCAAAAATAATTTAATAGGTGTAGTAAATGTAGAAATACACACATTTTTAAGTGTATATGAATTTAAAACAAAATTAATAAAAAAGATAATTGTTACAGATATCGGAGGCAAGATTTAATTACAATACAATAATAAATTAATATATATATATTAAATCAAATTTTAAATTTATACAAAAATAAAATTAAGATTTTCTTCCTTAACAATATTCCCAACTAAGAAAAATAAATAAAATCTAAAAATACCAGTTTGTGTGTTTGTAAAGTAAGCACTATTGGATGGACATTATGTCAGGATACTTTAATTAATACTATTAATCATAAGTAATCAAGCAATAATACATATTTATTGAAACAAATATATACTAAAAAAAAGATTCATGAAAACTTTGAGCAATGCATAAATGGCTTTAATAATGGGTTTGTTCGTAGTTAAACTATTAAAGGAATGCATTCAGTAACCGTTATTGATGAATTTATTAATAAATATCAATTAAAAATTATGGATTGTTGTAAAGAGAAAAAAATTTAAGTTCAAAAAATATAATAATACTAATGAGTATTGACACACATTATTTTAATATTATGTAAACTTAAAAAGAAAATATGGCAATTTCTTGGAAAATGAGAACAATATTCTACAGTTATTATAATACATTAAAATTAAATGATGTTATTATTGGAATGAATAAAATAGTCAATTACTGATTGCTTAAAAATTACAGTTTTGATAAATTTCAGGCAGTAATATTCATTTATACTTAGATTACACAATTGAGCTTTATTTGTTTAAATTTAAACACTATGGAACTGAAAAACAATTTGTCTATAATAAATACTTACAAATTATTTACTCAAATAGTATGTGTATTACGCATATTACAACGATCAATGATTCAATAAGATTACTAAGACTAAATTATTAAAACTAAGGTAGTAAAAAATATGAATATTGTTATTATAAATGTGTTAAACACATTATTGGTAACAAGTTTGACAGTCTAAGTTACATTACAACTGTTCAAACGAGATTGTACCCGATTCATACAAATTGGTCGAATAATAATAATAAATAATAATATGATTTTATACATATCATTATGGCACTACTCGTTTCAGAATAATCCTTTTTTCTTGGTTTTTTTCTCTTTTCCATCGGTAGTTCTGAAATACAAGTTAACATATTATTAAACATTGTGCTAAGCTGATTAATTAATAAATAAATTATAATTTAAGTAGGAAATGTGACATACTCTCTCTCTAATGACCGCCTTCTCAATTCGTCAAGACTAACACCACTGCTTGATTCCCAGTCTCTGATTTCTACTTCAAGTTGTCTACGTCTTTCGTCCAATTCACTAGCTTCAGATTCTAATCTTTTCAACATTTGTTCATTCTTTTGTTGTAACTATTGAAAAAAAAAAATTAATATTTTTAACTACATTAAAGTAAGAACAAAACACTAACAGCAATTTCCGAATCTTTAAGTTTTTGTTTTTTTTCTTTGACTTTCATCTCAAACACTTGTTCCATTTCAGTTTCCATTTTTTTAAGTTTGGCATCATGATCACGTTTTTCATCTTCCATTTGGGCTAATGGATTCCTATTAATAAAAAAGACAAAAACAAATTATATACATTCAAACACAATGGGTTTAGAAGAATGCTATACCAATTACAATATTGCTTTATAATCATAATTTATTATAAATTTATCGGACTAATTTTTGGATGAGGGAAAAGTAATTGTTTCTTTCATACTATTAACTGAAACTTACCAAACAGCAACGAAGGAATTGTTGATTGCTCCTGGGGCGCACGAGCTGGACAGTGTGTAAGAAAATAATAATAATGTTTTTTTTAATTGATATTATTAACATAATCAGTATAATGGTTTTAAAAAAGCTTGAGTTCACATAAAAAAAGCATTCTATACTATAAACTACAAACAACTAATTTAACTATTTATCTTGGTAAACAAGACATATTTTAATATAAAAACTCTAAACGATTTCCAACTTGTACTTATATAAATAGATATAATATGATGTTGCCATTATATTAAGAACTTTTTACTTTTTTCTTTATGATACATATTAATTTTAGTAGATACAATGAAACCACTATATTAGAATACACCTTCCAATAGTATATTATTCTAAAAAAATTCATAGTAGCAAATTCATACTAACATCCTAGTTTAACTACTGATAAATCAATCAACTAATTAAACAAACAATATTTATACTAAATATTATTAAATAATTAAGTTATTATATAAAAATTTCAATAAATAGGAAATTAATAGATAAAAAATTTTGATTATTTTTAAGGAATAAATTGTTCAATTAATACCAAGTCATATTAATCTGAAATAAACTTCTCAACAAACATTTGTATGCAATTGGCTATCAGAAAAATAATTAAATGTTTTTTTTTTTTTTATATTAATAAGGGTCACAATATAATATCATGTATATACTCTATCCTTCGTATAGGAGTAATCTCTAGTGGCGAGTTTCTGAGCATGAAAATGAAAATGAACAACAAGCCTAATCACACACAAACAATTACACTATTAAGAGCATCACTTTTTATTCCAACAGACACCTATATTGCGTTTTACTAAAATAAACAAAGACATTTTTTGATCACTGCACAACATTAGAAATGAAGACAATTTATTGAGAGGCATATTCTAACCAAAGTAAATGAAAATCAATCTCTGCCTAAATTTAATATTATAAGAGACAAAGTATAGAAGAAAAAATTATATTTCCCAAAGGAATTTATTTTATTAAGATTTCATTGCAATAAATATTTCTATATTCAACTTATGATTCTTTTTTAAGCTAAAAATTTTAATTGAACGATATAATATTTTCATAGTTTAACAATATCAATGCTACACAATATACTAGATTCATACCTATGATATTAATTGGTAATTAAAAAGAAAATATTGAATAACTGATAAACAATATTTTTAAAATTCACAAATTTATACATTAGAGTATTAACATTAAACAGTAATTCATAATTTATTTATATTTTACATAATTAATAATATATATTTTATCAACTCCCAGTTGTTAAGAAAACAAATACATTTAATTATTTTGGTAACTATCATTAACTACAAATTGGAAATATAATGAAACACTAATTAAATATACAAGCAAAATATTATTTTTCATAGTAAAATAAATATTTTAGAAACAACTAATTATGCATATTAATGCATACCTATACTGATTATGGATTTTAGCAATTCAATATACTAAAATTCTACATTTTAATTTATTTATAGCATATTTGACTTGAAAAGGTAATTTTTTTTTTATGGTCAATAAGCCCATGCAAAATTAATAAAATAGCCAATAAAACAAATATTTTAAATGTTTATAATGAAATAACATTAAATATATTTATGCAACTATTATAATTTTTTTGAGGGTCTCATCCAAAAATCAGCCAAATAAATGATAAATAGATATTATTTGGATACATAGAAGATGGAATATTCTATAAATATGAAATGGGCGCAAACCACAACCTTGAAAGGCTATCAAAAACGCTTACTCATATACCATAAAATATTAACTCACTTGGTCATTCCTTTTGGACCATCAGCTGAGAAACAAGCCAACTTTCTAAATCTAAAGTTTTCATAATGTACATTACTAGTCACTTCTTTTAGATCTTGTAAATGTGTTCTCAACAACATATTTCTTAAAGCAACAAAATCACAATGATCAAGATTTTCCACTAGAATTTAATATAAACAACAATTATTCATTATCATACTTAAAGTGAATTTGAATTTTAAACAGACCTTCAACTAAACCCCAAGGATACTTTCGACCACGCACCTTCTTCCCATCCACTTCATGAACTTCAGTTGATCCAACAACAGCAAATGGCACCCGTGCTTTAAGTTTTTTTAAATTTTCACGATCTTCATCTTTGTCGGAATCAGGGAAATCGTAAATTTTGATTTTATGCTGAGCAATTTCTTTTAAAATCTAATAATAATAAAAAGAGCAATTTTAAAATACTAAACATAGTTTATCATATCAACATAAATTGGCAAATATAAAAAAATATAAACCTGTTTTTTATACTCTGTCACTTCATCTGGAGTCATGGTATCTGCTTTGGAAATAATAGGTATTATATTCACTTTGTCATGAAGTCTCTGCATAAATTCTACATCTAAAGGTGTCATTCCATGACTATTTGACTCCAAAAAATATAAGCAACAATGTACACGACTATCATGTTGTATTTTTCTATTAACTCTGGATTCAGCATTTAAGTATTCTTCATATCTAGCAATATTAAAAAAGATATTTCAAATAAACATTAAATGACAAATTAATAAAAATATTATATTTACCTTGACTCAATATATTCAAGCACTGGTTGCCAACAATCAGAATTGTCAACAGCATCACCAAATCCTGGTGTATCAACTACAGTAAGTGAAAGATTTACACCCTTTTCTTTTAACATACATCTATTAGTTTCGACTCGTACTGTTTTACCAACACGTAAAGAGGGACCAAGATGTTCTTTGCCATATATATCAGCCAAGAACATTGTATTAATTAAGGTGGATTTCCCAAGACCAGATCTACCTATAACAATTTTTATATTAAAATTTAACTTAAAAAAATGCATGACATCTATGCAAGTAGTAGTGTGATATGAAATACATACAAAAAATATAAGACTATTCAAAAACCTAATAAACTTACCAACAACCATAAGTGTAAATTCAAAGCCTTTCTTTACAGCTTTGCGATATACTTGATTAGGTAAATTGGCAAATCCAACATATCCATCTAATTTCTTCACTTTTCTATCATTAACCTTTCCATTTCCCGGTTGATCTGTTTTTAAAAGTTTTTCTTTGCTTTCTGTAGGCTCTGTTGATGACTCAGCTACATATTTAAAAACAAAACATTTAAATAAAATACTTAACAAGAATTAAAAGACATACGTTTAACAACAACTGGTACTCGTGGTAAATTCATTGGTGCAGTTGATGGTAAATTTGTAATTTGATTAGTTTTTATACTGGTAACAGAGTTCTGATGGGGCACTGGAGAAGTTGAATTGGAATTTGATTGAACAGCAGACTGAGTTCCAGAGATTGCACTGTTTGCCGATACGTCATTCTTAAAGAACAACTCCCGTTTACTTTGTAACTAAACAATTAAAAGTAAAGGTTAAACATTTTAAAAATAACAAATAAATTAAAACTAGTCACATCATTTTAAGAAAAATTAATCAAATTCATATTATCCCACAATCTTAAAATATTTTATAAACTCACAACACTAAAATAAACCAATTGTTTATATTGAAAAAATAAATAAATACTTTTATAATAATAAAAGTCAATAATAATAATTATTAGTAATTAATAATCACATAATATATAATTCTACAATTATTATTATTATTCACAACGGAAAATAATAATTTAATGATTATTTAAAAGTTAAAAAAATGATATCTACATTCAAGAATTTCATATGATTCTTAGTATCAAAAAGTAAAATAACCAATAAATTAAATAAACCTCATAAAATCTTAATTATTAACCAATAAATATTAGGTATAATTGCATACAAACAAATTGTAACTATAAAAATAAAGTATAAATGTAGGTATATATTTTTTTTTAGACGCAATAAATACGATTGAAACATTCAAGGGTAGTTGGTTATGTGTGAAAACTGTTAAACAGTAGCAGATTAATATAATCATTACTCGTATGTACGATATGAATATTTAAAATACTTAATGATGGGTATGTTAACCATAAATTAAAATAAATTATTTGTAAGGTAATAATAGTAACTTAAGGGTCCATCAACAGTATAAAATAAAAACAATCATAAAATACATACAAAATAGGCAGTCGTTTAAATATTATTAACTCTAAAATAAATAATATATAAATTATAATTTATAACGTAAAAAAGCGATGATATAACGTTAATACAATAATACGATGACTGACAGAATCTAGACATGATATACACATTATTTTCCGTGTACTACTCGCATTGTACACATAAAATGAATATATCTCTATTTATTACTCAAACTTGACTTATTTTCACGCACACACACACACATATAATATTAGAAATAAACATATGTAATATACCATGATAAATAACAAATAACAATGAGCTTACAAATATTAACAACTGTAATAAAAATCGATCACAACTAATTAAATGATTAAACATATTTTGCTACCAATAGAGTCCCAAGAGTGACGCAAGTCAAATGGTCATGTACGTGTCAAAAGCTAGTATGCCATAAAAACATATAATTAATTTTTTAACCTAGTTAACTAATCTTCTATTTAGTCATAAAAATAATAATTTATCACTATTTAAAAATTTGACACAATATTATATTTATATAAGTCTCGCACACAAACGATAACAAACTATTTCACGGTAGGTTATTTTGAATGCATTTATTTTTGCATTCATGCTTCATACAGAGAACAAAAATATTTATAAAAAACCAACAGGTGAAAATATTATCCCAAAAAACCTATATTATACAGTTTGTGTCGAAATCAATTCATCGGGCATACACAAAAATTTGACTTGATCACGTTTCGAAAATATAACAATAGTATAAAAAAATTCCAAACCATAATAAAATAGCTTATATTAAATTTACCATTAAGAACACACTCATAATTTATTATACCTTCGATTCATAATTTGAATTCCGTTTTATAAGCGAATCACTACTTAACATTAATTGCGTAGATTAAACATTTAGTAGGTATTAAAACATTTTTTTATATACCTATAATATTAAAATATATTTTGAGGTGAAGAATACCGTTTAAAACACGCAATGACTTAGATTAGAATAAATTCAATTAATTATTAATAATAATATATGTACACCTACAAATTACAATAATAAGATGAAATATTATTATATACTTATATTATTCAGAATGTAACAAAGTGAGTTTTAATCAATATTATTATAAAAATACAAATTTACCTCCATTCACTTTCAATTAATAGCATTGAAATACAAACTAACAAAGATTTTTAAATAAAAAAGAAAATAATAATTAATCAATAACATTTGCCAGCGGTTAAAAAAACAATGTCATTTTTCTTTTATTTAAATTCTTTTGTGTAAACACTATTAGAAAGTATTCAAGCTATATTATTTTTATGAATATATTCGTGAAATATAAAATAAAAAGTTATTAAAATTATTAAATGATCAAATATCATTATTACAATATTATAATATTAATCCGGAAAACTAATTATCTCTATAATGTATGTTCGACGATCCACAATAAATAAATTATACTACAATGGGTTGTCCATTCACAAATTTATTTTTCTCATAATTTCATATGATTCAAAACATTATCTTTATTTTAATGTACAAAGGAGTGGTTAATATTATAATTAGAGCACGATGACGTAATTCCTTAGGAGACCCTAGTTATACAGAAACAGAACACATGTGAAAAACTCGTAATAAGGGTTAAAACAAGAAGTCTGAATGTAACCGAACTAACATTCTTTAAAAATCAAAATTATTATCATAATTCAAACACTACATGACATATACTATAATAATCCAAAAATACGTTTAATAGTAGATTTGTGAAACATATAAAAAAATATGATCCTACTAGAGTTGGTCAAAAATTAAATATATTTTTAATATTTCCTAATAATTTTTTTCAGCTTTTTTTTTTAAACGAAAGAGCATACAAATTATTTTATTCTCAAGATTTAATTGCATATAGGTATATTTCATTCCCAAAATTTATTTACTACATTTTTTGTATTATTTGATTTTCATAAACAAAACAAAGCATTGATATACTACATAATTTAAAATATCACTTAACATTGCCATATATATTACTGAATTATTTTGGATTAGATTTTATTCATTTTATAAAAAGTTCTATCAACTTACAATCGTTGAAACAATAAAACTTGCCTATAATAATAAACTATGATTATTGTTAAAACCTCTTTACGGATTAAAGTATCTCCTAATATGTCACATTTAGAATTTAAATTATACATATTCTATTAATTATCAAAATTTGTGAATTACAGTAAATCAAACATAAAATACACCGAAGTTTGTCAGTTTTATCTTTTTTTTTTTTTTAATTTATCAGATCTTCGAGAAACGTTTGCATTATACATTAATATATTACACATTTTTAAAATATTTTCTGATGTCCATCACATTCCGATTGGTCGAAACCATAATGTATTTTTGAGCAACAAAAACACCCATCGGCAATGTCATAATTTGATCGAATCTGTAGATATTAGTGAAAAATACATTCCACGATTTTATCAGACGACGACGCCTGTCTCGTTCAAAACTACCCTTTAACGGTTTCATCTAACAAATATTAGGCCGTAAAATTTGTTAGTAAATAAGTTTATTAAAAATATTTAAGTTCATTTAACCGGGAAATACCTAGATTAAGTTTTTTTGTTTTATTACTATATTTTAAAAATGGATATAATATACAATTAATTTATTTCACATAAGTATTAATACTAAAATATAATATATATCACGTACTCTCATAAGGAACAAATATCTCAAAAAAATCTAAATAACTAAAGTTTTATAATAGAATTCGATAAAATATTTATAAATTAATTTATATTTCTATAGGTATATACATAATTAATCATAAAACTAACCAAAGATGTTTCATACTAAAAATGTAATACTAAAAAAATATAACATTGAGAACTAATTATTTAATAAAATAATATTATATTTCACTCAGTGGTAATTTAATACTAATAAAATTTTATATATTCATTATAAATCTGAGGATATTAAATTTATCATTTTCCAGACAAAACCTCGCCAATAACTATGATAAAATTCTCAGTAATATAATTATTATTCATCTACCAGCAACTAGCAAGTAGTGGTCTCTGATGACATAAGTATTTTGCATTAACCAAAAAAAATATTGATAGACATTGTATGTGTTTTAAAAATTATATTCAAATGCAATCATTGTTTTACATATCAATGGTATTGATCATTAATCTACATTTAACTATATAAATCAATACATATTTTAATGATTAATGATTATAAAATATAAAAATAATGAGCACATTACATAATATTATTATATGCCTCATCTAGCTTTTAGTAAACATTGTCGAAGTAAATATAATAAATGAATATTCTGCCGTTTATTAAAATAAATATAATTTTTACATAATATATTAATTATGTAGTTAATTTTATTTTAGAGACTAAAAAGTATACTATGAATAAAATATTTTTATTTTTATTACATGTACTATTATTTATTTATTTTTAGTAATAAGTATTTTTATGGTTTATTATAAATAATAACAATATAATATTTACTATAGGAAATTAACTGTGGAGAAACATAATAGGCACTTATAATAGACGTACAACTTAAAGTGGAATATATATAAATATATTAAATATATCATGTAAAACTGTTAATTTCTTAGATATTGATGTTGTATTATATAAATGGCACTAAGTTATGGAATGAAAATTAGAAAATTAAAATTAAAATGGTAAATTCTACTAAACAAAGTTGTTAAAAAATATAAGCACGAAAATTATTAGCACGTGGTTTGACAACGTAAGGATCAAGGTTAGAATTAAGCAAGCGGACGCATCGAGCATCGCTCTTAAATATTAGTCAGCTGTGGTCGCCATGGTGACGCATACGCTACGATCGATTTTTCTCCCTTGGAAAAGCAACTAAAATTAACAATACTGCACAGAGCAACCCTCTGTAGTTTTTTTTTACATTTCAAGGTCAGTATTCTGTAAAATTGTTCGATCAAATCTCACAATGATTATATTGATATTGAGTAGAATTAGCTACTAAAATAATAGTAGTATTTTGTATTATAATAAATTATATTATATTATAACGTTTATACACTTACAACAATTGTAACCATATTTTAATTTATAAAACTACGTGTCTGCATTACTGCAATATTTGACATAAGTATCATATTATTTTTATAATTTGGAACATAATATAATACAATTATAATATGATACACATAATTTTCCTAACTTTAATAATAATTATACCTAATGAATATTATTTACTAATAAAATTAATATTAAAAATTAG